GTAATTGCAGGTAATCCAAGGTCAGGATGAGTCAATGTGTGGAAACAGGGGTTCATGAAAGCACTCATCATCATCACCATTGCTCTATTTCTTTGTTTCTCCAGCTCTTAGCACAGTGCTGAGAACATAGTAGACATTTAATAAATGCTTATTTACTTAAATGACAACTCCAGTTTCTATGGTGCTTTAGTATTTACAAAGCACTTTCTTTTTTTTGATACTTAGTGTAATCCCAAGACATTTCCCCATTAGAATGTAAGTTTGGTTTTTTTTTAATTAATAAATTTATTTATTTTTAGTTTTCAACATTTACTTTCGCAAGTTTTTGAGTTCCAAATTTTCACCCCATCTCGCCCGTCCCCCACCCCAAGATGGCATGCATTCTGAATACCCCTTCCCCTAGCCTGCCTTCTCTTCTATTTCTTCCCCCCTTCTCTTATCCCCCTCCCCTTCCATTTTCCTGTATGGCAGGATAGATTTCTGTAACCCATTTCCTGTATTTCTTATTTCCCAGTTGCATGTGAAAATATTTTTTTTAAACATGTGTTTTTAAAACTTTGGGTTCCAAATTTTCTCCCATCCTCCCTCCCCACCCACCCTCATTGAAAAGGCAAGCAACTCAATATAGGCTATACATGTGCAGTTATGCAAAACACTTCCATAGTAGACATGCTGTGAAAAACTAACTCTATTTCCCTTAATCCTATCCCACCCACCCTTTTATTCTATTCTTTCTTTTGACCCTGTCCCTCCTCAGAAGTATTTGCTTCTGATTATCCCTTTCCCAATCTGCCCTCCTCTCTATCATCCCCCTACTCTCTTGTCCCCTTCCCCTCCTATTTTCCTGTAGGGTAAGACAGATTTCCATACCCAATTGAGTGTGTATGTTATTCCCTCCTTAAGTCAAATCCTATGAGAATAAGATTCACTCATTCCCTCTCACCTTCCCCCATTTCCCCTCCACTGTAAGAGCCTTTTCTGTTTTTATGTGAGATAATTTACCCCATTCTATCGCTCCCTTTCTCCTTCTCCTAGTATAATCCTCTCTCACCCCTTAATTTTATTCTCCAGATTTGACGCCTTCATCTTCAACGCACCCTGTGTCCTCTATCTATCTATCTATCTATCTATCTATCATCTATCATCTATATATATATATATATACATACATACATACAATTTTTCCCTCCAACTACCCTAATACTGACAAAGGTCTCATAAGTTACAAATATCATCTTTCCATGCAGGAATGTAAACAGTTCAACCTTGATAAGTCTCTTGTGATTTCTCTTTCCTGTTTATCTCTTCATGTTCCACTTGAGTCTTGTATTGGAAAGTCAAATTTTCTATTCAACTCTGGTCTTTTCATCAAGAATGCTTGAAAGTCCTCTATTTCACTGAATGACCATTTTTTCCCCTGAAGAATTATTCTCAGTTTTGCTGGGTAGGTGATTCTTGGTTGTAGGAAGGAAGGAAGGAAGGCAGGAAAGGACAGAAAGAGGAAGAAAGGAGGAAGAAAGGAAGGAAGGAAGGAGAAAAGGAAGAAGAAATGAAAGAATTAGTTTTTACTATGTGTTAAGCATTGTCCTAATAACTGAGGATATATATATATATATATTTGTGTGTGTATACATATATGTATGTGCGTACATATATATATATATATATATATTTTAATGAAATATCCCCCTTTCTCAAAGAGTTCACATTCTAATGTTGGGGACCAGGATGCTGGGGTTGGGGAAATGGAAGTCACAGCTCCTTGATGTAGACTGGTAAATATCTGGAATCCACACTCTCATTTTTCAAATATTCTATTTCTTCTACTGCTCCGCACCGCCTCTCATTTTTCTAAGTTTTGCAATAGCCATCTCCTTAGGAGGTCCCAGCTCTTAGTCACTATAAACATCTCAGTGTGTTCTCTCCCTTTAGTTTCACCTGGTGCTTGAAATTAAGCCTTCCCTCTGTTGTGGATGAAAAATGCTAGTTGACAAGTACACCCGTTTACCTTTATAAATTCTACATAAATGAGCCTCTATTATGCTTCCCAGAGGATTGAAGGAAGGTACAGCTTATGCTAAAGGCTAAATAGACCATCTGTCTTCTCATTGGCTTTCACAAATGTGGATCCCTCCCTGCTGGTGGGGAAGCCACTGGTCTATGGATAAATATGCACTCATCACCCCTCCCTACAAATCATGGCTAAATTTCACTGACAGCCTTCTTCCATATTCTTTGCAAGGGAGCTCAGTAAAGATCAGACTAGCTGTCCTCCCTTCCTCAAAGTGGGGCTGACTGAGCTGCAGTATGTTTGATGGCAGCACACTTAGACTTGGAGTCCAGTGGAGGAATTCCTAATCTCTTTGTCTCACTTTAGTCTCCTGTTCATCTCTTTTTTGTTCTTTGAATGAACAGTTATTCACCTCCTACTATTTGTAAAATATCCTTTCCACCATCCACTCAACTTTTCAACAAACACTTGTTCAGCACCTACTGTTTGTAAAGTGTTGACCAATCCTCCCTCCCTCCCTCCATTCATTGATCTATTCATCCATCCTTTCAACAAACATTTAATGAATACCTATCAGTTGTTAAACATCCAACTGTTTAAGAAACACTCATTGAAAACCTACATTTATAAGACATGAATTCATCCAGTCATTCAGCAAGCATTTATTGAGCACCTACTGTTTATAATACATCCATCCATCAGTTTCTTTTTAAAAATCACCCATTTGGGAATCTGTTGTTTGTAAGGCATTTATCCATCCACCCATCCATGCATTTATCTCTTAGATGAGCTCTTATTGAGTTCTTACTGCTTGTAATAGATTCAACCCTCCAGGATCCATTCATACAGTGCATTTATAGAGCACTTGTAGAGCATCTATCTATTCACCCATCCATCTATCCATCTATCCCCCAACTAAAATTTATTGAATAACTGTTGTCTATAAGACATTCATTCAGCTGGCTAGTCATTCGTCAACATGCTGTTATTAAGTACCTACCACCTTCAAGACATTTACCCATCCTTCTAGTTTGTCTTCCAATAAACACTTGTTCAATACCTATTATTTATGAGACATTTGTTTATTTCATCAATAAACATTTATTGAATACTTATAGCATGCAATATTTGCATTCATTTATAAGGCATGTGTTAAGCACTAGTTGAATGTAGAATACTATTAGAAGCCTGAGAGGGATGTCAGGTTTAGGCAAAATAGTTCTTTCTTGATGGAACTCACAAATTAACTTTGGCAAGAAGTGAAAGTTATGGAAAGCATTTGAACAAGCTCAGCTGATTTACTAAGAGTTTTATTTCCCTTTCAGAGAGGCACAATCAGAGAAAAAACATGCAGAATGCATCCACCGATACACGGAACAAAAAAGCTAGATATGGGATCCTGAAAATAATACTTTGCAAATATCCCAAGACTTTACAAAGAGTATTCCTTACAACAGCTCTCTAGCACAGGTAGCACAGTTATTAGGGACACTTTTTTTTTCCAGAAGCAGAAATGAGACCCAGGAATGTAAAATGGCTTACCCCTGGTCATTCAGCGAGTAAGCAACAGCTACAGCTCAGATCTGCTCATTGTTTGGTATTAGGTGGCACATTTTAAGAAGGACGTTGATAAATTGGAACGAGTCCAAAAGACAACCACCAAGACAATGTGAAGACTAGAAACCATTTCATATAAGAATGAGTTACGTTGAAACTGAGGATGTTTGGCCCTGAGAAAAGTAGACTTGGGGGGCTTATGGCAGCTGTGTTCAAGTGCTTAAGAGCTGATGTGTAAATGAGGGATCAGATTGCCTCTGGAACTAATGGCGGTGCATAAGCATTGTTCAAAGGATGGGTTTTGGCTTAATATAAGGACATATTTCCTAACAATCAGAGCTGTCCAAAAGGGAAATCTGCTATCTCAGGAGGTAATTAGTTCCCCCTCACTAAAGACTTTCAATTGCAGATGACCACAATGGACACCAGTATAGGTTTAGCAAGATGGCCTCTGAGGTGTCTTGAAACTCTGAGATTCTAAAATGTTTTGACTCTGTGTGCCGGGTTCTTTCCACTTCATCATGTAGAACCAGAAACAGACCTTAGTTCTCCTCTGTCCATTTTATATATCAGGAGACTAAGTTCCACAGAGGCAATATATTCAAATGATTATCAACAGAGTCCAGACCAAGGGTCAAAGCTACTTCATACCTATTCACAATTCTAAAATAATAATAAGAAATAGCATTTGCATGGCACCTTAAGATTTTCAAAGAATTGTAAATATGCCTTCTCCTTTGATCTTCATAATGACCCTGTGAGGGAGATGTTATTATTATCCCTCTTTACAGATGAGGAAACTGAGGCAAACAGAGATTAAGTGACTTGCCCAGGTTCACACGGCTAGTGTCAGAGATAGGATTCAAACTCAGGAATGTATGACTCTAAGTCTAACACTCTATCCTCTGTACTGTCATAGTTCAATCTGCGTGTTCTTCCCTTATTGAGGCTTACTTTTATTTACTATCAGAATAGACATTTGGAAAGAATAAACCATCTCACAGTGATATACTAACACTGGTATGGCTTTCCTGGACTACAGTTGATGGTTTTTGTTTTTGTTTTGTTTTGTTTTGTTTTTCTGTGGAAGAAGTTGTTTGCTTCAGGAAATCAATCAGGGTATATTTATTAAGCAGCTATTCAGTGAACAACCCTGTGCCAGGTGTCTTAGAAACAAACAAACAAAAAAAAATCCCCTTTATCAAGGAGATTGTATTCTCCTGATATGAGTAGGCAATATGTACACACCCAAATTCAAAATGTATGCAAAAGAGGAAAGGAAAGAAGGGACTGAGCATTTATATAGAGCCTACTATGTGCCAGGCACAGTGCTATGTGCTTTTACAAATATTACCTCATGTGACAATAATAAAGCAAAGATCCTAAGCTCTTCTGATATTTCCTCCCCTCCTCCTCCCCTCACCCCCAACAGACGGAACCCTCTACACTTCCACCTCATCGCTGATGCCATTGCCAAGCAGATCCTGGCCACCCTCTTCCAGACATGGATGGTACCTGCCGTACGAGTTGACTTCTATGATGCTGATGAACTAAAGGTAAAGGGAAAGAGTGGGAGAGGAACATGATGGGCCTTGGTATTATATTCAATCAACCTGGTTTGCACCTTAATTTTGCAGGACCAACAAGGTAAGCTCAACTGATCATTGGGAATGCCTAGCTTTGTCATGACTTAGCTAGAAATGCCTTTGGTATACTCCTAATCTGATGATCTAGGGGTATAGAAGTGTTCCTGCATTCTTTTTTGTTTGTTTTTTTTTAAAGAAATTATTTATTTTTAATATTATTTTCTTTTTAAATTTTGGGTTCCAGATTCTCTCCCTCTCCCCTTCCCACCCCTCCCTTGCTCACTTAGAAGGCAAGCAAAATATCAATTATACAGGTGAAATCATGCAAAACATATTTCCAAATTAGCCACATCACAGAAAAGCAAGAAAAATAACCAAAGTCAGAAAATTATACTTCAATTTGCACTCAGTTCATCAGTTTTCTCTCTGGAGGCAAATAAGATTTTTTCATCGTGAGTCCTTTGGAATAGTCTTAGATGATTGTATTGATCAGAATAACCAAGCCTTTCACAGTTGATCATCATTACAACATTTCTGTCACTGTACACAATGATCTCCCATTTCTTCTCACTTCACTTTGAATTAGTTCATATAGGGATTGCCATGTAGTTGTTGTTTTTTTCCTTGAAACCATCCTCCTTGTTATTGCATACAGCACAATCATATTTTGTCACAATGATGTGCCACAACTTGACCAGTTATTCCCCAATTGATGAGCATCCTCTCAATTTCCAATTCTTCGCCACCGCAAAAAGAGCTGTTATAATATTTTTGTACTCATAGATTGTTTTCCCTTTTCTTTGACCTCTTTGGAGTACAGACTTAGTACTGGAATTGCTGGGTTAAAGGGTGTGCATGGTTTTATAACCCTTTGGGCATAGTTCCAAATTGTGCTGCAGGATGATTGGACCAGTTCACAACTCAACCAGTAGTTTATTATTGTACCAATTTTTCTTCATTCTCTCTAGCATTTGTCACTTCTGATGGATATGAGGTGGTGCCCTAGAGTTGTTTTAATTTGCCTTTCTCTAACCAATACTGATTTAGAGCATTTTTCTTATAACTAGAGATAGCTTTGATTTCTTCTCCTGAAAACTGCCTGTTCAAATCTTTTCACCATTTATCAACTGGGAAATGGCTCTTAATTTTATAAATTTGACTCAGTTTGCTGTATATTGAGAAATGAGGCCTTTATCGGAAAAATTTGCCCTTAAATTTTTTTCATGTTTCTTCATTGTCTGTGGTACCTTTTTAGCAAAATGTAGATTCTCTGCTTATCTCTTTTATTAGGTCTATTTTTGCTTTTGCTTTATCTGAGATCATGATCTGAGATCACCCTCCCTTTTTTACTTCATTTGAAGTATAATAGATTCTGCTTCAGTCCTTTATTTTAACTGTGTCTTTCTGTTTCAAATGTCTCTTGTAAAAAACATATTGTTGGATTCTCATTTCTAATCCATTCTGCTATCTGCTTCTGTTTGATGGGTAAGCTCATCCTATTCACATTCAATCATGATTGATAACTATATTTCTCTTTATCCCATTTTATTCTACTTATCCTTCTCTCTCTCTCTGTTTCTCTCAATCCTCTTCTACCTCAAAAGTCTGTTTTGCTTCTGACCATTCCCTCCCTTAATCCAGCCTCCCTTTTATACGTAAGTGTGTGTGTGTGTGTGTGTGTGTGTGTGTGTATAATATATATACTTCTTTCTTTGAACCAATTTCAGTGACAGTGAGGTTGAAGCATTGACCCCCCCCATTTCTCCTCCATTATAAAAGTTCTTTGTGCACCTCATTTATGCGAGAAAATTTCCCTCATTCTAGCTCTCCCTGCCCCCTTCTCTAGTGAATCCCCCCCTTTCTCACTCCTTCATTTTTTCTTAGAGATTATCCCAATATTATCCCAATACCCATGCCCTCTCTCCATGTAAACTTCTAATTGCCTTACTAATGATAAAGTTCTTAGGAGTTGCATGTGTCATATTCTCAAATAGGCTGCCTCTAATCCACCATGTTGGCTATGCCCTCTTGTTCCTACATTCTTGAAATCTATATCTATGGAATATTAACTCTGGTAGGTTCTTCTAAGCTTATAAAGCCTGAAGTTGGACCTGAAGACTTGTCTAGATTTGTCTTTTGCAAGGACCAGTATGAATAGGTTAGTGAGAAGGTGATGAATTATTTTTAAGCCACAGTAAAGGATGGTGCAATCTGCAGTAGTGAAAATTATATCTAGACCAGTGAAATCACAGCTTTGGGAGGTAATAATTCATGAATTCCTAGATCTAGGGCTGGAAGGAACCCCAGAGACCCCATAGTCTAAGTCCCTACTTCTACAGATAGGGAAACTGAGGCCCATATCATACAGCTGTCAGAGGTAGGATTTAAACTCGGGCCCACTGACTCCAGAACTAATGCTTTTCCCAATGTACTATGCTACGTTAGAGACCTCAGAAATCAGGTAGACTGATTTTTCTAGCTCATATTTAAGGTTTACAAAGCATTTATATACATTGACTTATTTGATCCTTGCAATAACAGGTGAAATAAGTGTTCTTATTATTCTCATTTTATAAAACATGAAACTGAGGCTTAGAAGTTACATGGCTTACCCAGTCAGTATCTGAGGCCAGTTTTTAAAATGCTTACTATCCAACATTTGAATTTCCTTGATAACATCCTTAACAACTGGTCATGTCGTTCCTGTTTGTAAGCCTCTATAACAAGCAGCTAACTACCTCTCAGAACCCCATATTTCACTTCTGCACAGTCCTGATTGTTGAGGGTTTTCCCTCTTCCCTCTTCTCTTCAGTTGAAATAATAATAACTAACATTTATATAATGCCTACTGTGTGCCAGGCACTGTGCTAAGCACTCTACGAATATATTACCACATTTGATCCTCACAACAACCCTAGGAGGTAAGTGCTATTACTATCTTCTTTTTGCAGATGAAGAAACTGAGGTAAATAGAGGTTAAGTGACTTGCTTAAGGTCACACAACTAGTCAGGGTCCGAGGTTGAATTTGAACACAGGGCTGGGACTCTACCTACTACACCACCTAGCCACTCTATAAACAAACCTTCATTAGATACCTACTATATGCCAGGCATTGTGTCAGGTGCTGATCTTACCAGTACAGTTAATTAAATGGTCTCTGGTCTTAAAGAGCTTAAGGGGAGAAATATGCATTCTTAAAATTATGTAGACAATAAGTTTATGTACATCATGCTTAATATATTTCTTTATGTCTTTAACAAAAATCCTTTGATTTAATCAATATAGGGAGCTCCTAGAAATTTCCCGTACTAGTATGAATTGGCACTAATTCTGCAATTCAAAGCTTTAGACTTATCTGGGGACACAAATGACTGGCCCAGGGTCATACAGCTGTATGTTTCTGAGGTGGGATTTGAATCCAAGTGCATATCTTCCTGACTTGAAAGCCAGCTCTCTATTCATTGTACCCCACTGCCTATGTATAGTACAGATGTGATAAATATAAGGCACTTTTGGGGGCAGGGGGAAGGGGTGGTTGGTCCTAGCAATTTGGAGGTGAGGAGAAGGAGAAATCCAATGGTCCGGGGCCGAAAACAGTAAATATAATCTCATTTCCTGCATCCTTACATATATTTGAAGACAGAGATAATGACCTCATTCCTTTCCCGCAAGTTCTTTCTTTTCCAACTAGTTTCTTTAATAGATTTTCAAATAATATTAAACTATAAGCCCCTTGAGGGCAGGAATGGCTTTGACCTTTATTTTTAATTCCCAGTGCTTTTGGCAGTGATAGCAAGCATTCAATAACTGCTTCTTGATTAATTAGCATGGCTTTCTGTCCCCCAGGGGTTCTCTGCTGGATACATTCCAGTTTTTCATTTTCCTATCTAGAGGGAAAACTGAACTTGGTAATCCAAATGTGCTCTGCCACTATAGTCATCCTCCCTTTGCTTTCTGAGGTATCACGCTAACCATTTTGTTTTGGACTGAATCCATCACTAGGTTGTGTTTTTTTTTTTTTCAAATCATAAAACTGTAAGGGCATGGAAATAATCTACTTCATTATTCATAGTTTTATGGGGTAGAAATCCCAGTGCAGTCAGGGTCAGAGGGCTTCAATTTAATTGTTGGCCATTACTAACCACATGACCTTGAATATATCCTTTTGTTTTTCTGTCCTTCATTCCTTTCCTTGGTAAAATGAGGACACACCACTGACATGCCTCTCGGTCAATAATCGAGTGATCAGATGCCTAGAACTCTGTTTCTGCTGCCCGTTCCACAGACAGCTACGTGAGTTTACATAAACGCTTAGGAGTTTTGTCTGTGGTCTCTTTGGGAAAGACTAACAACCATGCTCAGTAACCTACACCAGGCAGAATTGCTTGGTGAAAACATAATCAAGTCATTATCTTTTCATTGCACGGTCATAAAGTTTTAACTAGATCCCGAGATGCAAGCCCGAGCTTTTGATTTGCCCATATCTCAGGCGCAGAGCTTGATAGAGAAGCTCGGAATGTAGCAGTGGGGGGCTGTCATCGTAATTGGAGTGCCAGGCCAATCTATTCTGAGCAAAAATTGATTAACGCTCTTAAAAAGGGAAAAAACGAAATTTCACAAATTGCTGAGCTAATTAAGGTAAGAGCAAGGCATGCTTCTTACTTTCCAGTATCTCAAACCAACAGTACGCAGGAAGGGGTGTGAGAAGGGAGGGCAACATCTGGCAGAGGAGAATCCCTATACCTTCTTACTAATTGCTCTGGTTACTTCCATCTTTACATCCCCTCAAGAGCTGCAAAATACACAGTTTATGGACTCTGTGTGTGTGTGTGGAGAGGGGGGAGGGGAGGGGAGAAGAGAGGAGGAGAAAGAGGAAGGGGGAAGAGAGAAAGAATGAGAGGGGGGAGGGAGGGAGAAAGGCAGATATGTGTGTGTGTGTACACACATATGATATATAGAGAATATATAA